CATTTTTGGCCATTTTGGTGGGCTATAGCCCATGCATTTTGATCAAAAATCGACCATTTTTGGCCATTTTGGTGGACAATAGTTCATGCATTTTGATTAAAAATCGGTCATTTTTGGCCAATTTGGTGGGCTATAGCCCATGTATTTTCATCAAAAATCGACCATTTTTGGCTATTTTAGTGGACTATAGCCCAAGCATTTTGATCAAAAATCGACCATTTTTGGCCATTTTGGTGGGCTATAGGCCATGCATTTGGATCAAAAATCGGTCATTTTTGGCCATTTTGTTGGGCTATATGCATTTTGATCAAAAATCGGTCATTTTTGGCCATTTTGGTAGACTATAGCCCATGTATTTTCATCAAAAATCGACCACATTTGGCCATTTAGGTTGACTATAGACTATGCATTTTGATCAAAAATCGACCACTTTTGGCCATTTTGGTGGACTATAGACTATGCATTTTGATCAAAAATCGACCATTTTTGATCATTTTGAGAGTTCCACTCTCTCCCATCTGATTTAAGAAACATTGACTCTTTCGCTCAGATAGAAGTGTCCAGCCTACTTCTCTAAAAAGGTAGGTTTTCTTGTAATCGTGAAAAAGAAATAATAGAGACCGATATTGCTTTTTTTTAATGCTTTGTTTTTGATTAGCTTTCACAAATAAAAGGGATTTGCACCATATAGCGGCCGTGACTACAATTTTAGATAAAATGACCGATATTTGATCAAAATGCATGGTCTATAGTCCACCAAAATGGCCAAAAATGACCGATTTTTGATCAAAATGCATGGTCTATAGTCCACCAAAATGGCCAAAAATGACCGATTTTTGATCAAAATGCATGGTCTATAGCCCACCAAAATGGCCAAAAATGACCGATTTTTGATCAAAATGCATGGTCTATAGCCCACCAAAATGGCCAAAAATGACCGATTTTTGATCAAAATGCATGGTCTATAGCCCACCAAAATGGCCAAAAATGACCGATTTTTGATCAAAAT